ATTAAAAAAAATATAAAGTTATTTATTTATTTTATCGCAAATATACAAATTTTGAAGTGTAATATTCGATTTTACAGAATCTAGTCCAAATTGTTGTGGAAGGTTGAAATAAATTAGTACAATACACTTTTAAAATATTATTTTTTAATAATTGTTTAATATCTGTTTCAAACCATTGAAACATTTAGAAAACGTTAGTACATAAAAAGGTGACGAAAAACGAATATTTGGAGTTTTGGAGAAAATTGCTTTAATTTTTTATACAAAAAATTAATTATTTTTACGATTTTTCATTGTCAAGTCAGGTCAAATTAGATTTAATTTTTTTTTTTAATAATTACTTATTAATTAATATCTGCTTCAAACTGCTGTCCGTTGAAATATGTTGAAAGAATTGTCTTATTTTTTACACATTAATTAATAAGAAAACCTTTTTTTCGAGTCGAGTTATAGTCAGGTCAAATTTAATTTCGATTTTAAATAATTACCTAATATCTGGTTCAAATTGCTGTGAATGATTGAGACAGGTCGAAAAATTAGTTTTACCAGAAGCAATACATATTTTAATTTTGTTTCACTAATTGCTTAATATCTATTTCAAACTGCTGTGGACGATTGAAACATGTAGAAAAATTTAGTATCTAATTGATTTCWAGTTTTTATTTCAAGTAAGTTAATAGTTATTTATTCGACGAGTTTGAGTGTAAATCGGACTCTTTATTTGACCGAGTGGATTTTTAAACCACGAGTGTAACGAGTGGTTTACCATCCACGAGGTGGAATAAAGCGTCCGATTTACACTCAAACAAGTGGAATACAACATTTTATTCTTCGAATTAGAGTCAACAAGGCTTAAACTTGCTGTAAATCTTTTAAAAATACTCTGACGTTTTGTATTGAGAAATGTCAAACAGTTGTCAAAACTTCCTTACACGGGAGAAAAACCGTAAATTTTGACAGTGTCGAAGAATAAATTATTATTAACATACTTTATAAATCATAAAATGTATGTATTAGAGAAGAAGGCTTAATTTTTTATACAAAGTAAAGTCAAGTCAGGTGAAATTTTATTTCGATTCTAATGAATGCTAAGTAATTACTTAATATCTGCTTCACATTGCTACCGAATGAAATATGTTGACTGTTAATTTCCGTATTAAAAAAATGATAAAGTTGAACAAATACGTCTTTTATTAGCTTTTTTTTTAATCACAAATGACAAATCTTGAACTGTCTTGTGTTACATATTCAATTTTACATAATCACTTAATATCTGGTTCAAATTGCTGTAAATGATTGAGACATGTGGAAGAATTAGTACTCCTCGTAACAATACATATTTAAAAAGGTGTCAAAATAGTTATTTTTCTTTACTATATTTTCGTATATGTTCTCAAAGATAGCTATTTTACGGACAATTAAAGTCATTAAAATAAGTTCTTTTCGGACTTAYTAAAATAGTTGCTATTATAGATATTGTTTTTTATTTTTTTGTTACAAGTATGTACTTTTAAAATACAGTTTTTGCGGACAAATTCTTGCTATTTCCGGACGAAGTGAAGCCGAGCCTAGAATATCATAAAACTACATTACGTGTACAAACAATATTTTTTTGTTCCAAAAATACATTCAATTATTATGTATGAATAATTTCTTGAAAGTAGTGGTTAAAAATATAAAATAGTACTTAAAATACTTTACTTACTATTTTATTATTGAGTCCTAAAAAACTCTTAAATGAGTCTGTAAAGTAGCTATTTTTGGGAGCGTATGCAAAAAATACGAATTTTTGGAGTTTTCGAAAAGAACAGATCAAATTTTGACTTGGATTTTGTTCAAACTGCTGTGTTCGGTTGAAATATGTTGTATTGTCAAATGGAATGAATTATTTTGGTTATTTTTCATTAAGAAAACTTGTCTTGGGTTAGAGTCGAGTGACTGGAATAAAATCTTCTCTTTCTGATTAAATTTTTGCGATAAGTTAATGTAGTAAACTTTTCATTCTTGCTCCAAACTGTGTCACAATAAATAAGTGTTTATGGGAGTTGATCCTAGTTTTTTTATTAATTAAAGTTGAAAACTCGACAAATTATTTACGTCGAGGCTTAAAGTTACACCAGCCTCAGTGGGATCAATAAATCTAATTAATTTAGACACCTTTTTTCATTGAAATATCAAATTCCCGAAAAATTTAAATAACCARGMAATTCATCCAATGTCTAGACAAAACTGTTGCGCCATTTTAAAGCATAAAATTCGTAAAAGCACCTCCGGCTCCRTTTCTCCCCTTTGCAATTTAAATATCGATGTAGTTTTCGACGTGGCAATATTTCACGTCAGTTCTTGCCCCAATAAAATTAACCTCTAGGTAAATTCAATATTGAGATAAGGCAAAACGTGTTCAGGTGCAAATTCGAGGCAATTTATATGCGGGATTAAAAGGGTTATCCAATGTCCCCTTATTTATTATTTAGGAACTAACCGACGTTTTTGAAATAATTGTAGGTCAATCTTCGATTTTAATTATTCAACAGGTATTGTCGCATATTTGCATATTGATCAAAACTGGTCGATTTTTGATTCGGTGTCAAGCGTGAGTTATTAATAGAGCACCGGCGCGGTGTCCATTAGACGGTGTTTGAATATTTGATAATGGCCATAAAAAGGCCCAACATAATTTTTGTGTGCACAGTCAGAACACACACCAGAATTATGTAATAGCGCTTGAGCAATGTTTTCAAGAGAAAAAATCTTGTATGGGGTACGGGTGAAAACATTTTTTTAATTTAAGCTTCCTCAGGTATACGGCAAACATTGATTTAATTCAGGAATTTGGGTAATCGTCGGCCGCGTCCTTTCCAAATAATGTGTAAGAAATAAACACGAAAATGTGGATCGCCGATTTGAGACTAGTGCTGGGCTTTTGCATTTGTACGGCATTGGCGTACCAAGGATCCAAACAGGACTACATCAAATGGCGGGAGAGGTTCCTTCCRAAGAGGCCGACGACGACGGAAAGTGCAGTGACTAGTGCGAATGATATTCAGTATGAAAATTTGAAGTTGAGGCACCATTCGCGGTTCCCCAATTTGGACAGGGTTTTGTACAAGATAGACAATTTGCAGAAGAAAAATGACGTGCAACCGGTTCATAACAAGATTAGGCACCAGAATTTGTACAAGACGACCACTACAACGACCACCACCACTGACGAGGGCCTCTTCGGCGATGATTATTCCGATTTGGAGTATAACGATGACAACAACGATGAGCTCAATGACTACGACGAGTGGGTAAGTGTAGTGGAGTGGACCTCACCGCAAAGGTTTTTCATTATTTATCATCCATTATTCCGCTTCATTTATTATTCAAATCCAATTGTTTCATTCATTCATTCAACTGTCAGATTAGGTATATTAATTACCAGCGAGGCAGGTTATTCCTACCTTGGAAGCACCCCAGACTAGCATCAGAGCAATATGAGAAAATTGAGATAATTTTAACTAAACAARTACTAAATTAGTATACAGGGTGTTCCGGACAAGCCCCACATGAGGGGCCGCTAACTTGAAATAAATTTGTACAACTAATTCCAAAAAATTTTACGAAATTACAGTAATTCCAATAATCCATCGTAATTTCAAAATAATTTCTGTAATTCCAAATTAATTTCGAGAGTTCAACGAAATTCAATGTAATTTTCAAAAGAAATTATATCTCCGATAATTCCAAAAAGAATTCCAATAATTCTAGAAAAATCCCAGTAATTCACAAGTAATTCCAGTAATACCAAAAAAATCCGATAATTTACAAATAATTCCTGAGAAAATCCAACAAAATTGGAATAATTCTAATAATCCAGCGTAATTTTATTGATTTTAGATTAATTCTTTGAATTCAAAATTAATCCCTATAAATCCAACCTAATTTCCGTAACTCCAACTCCAACCAATTCCGATAGTTCTAAGAAATTCAACGTAATTT